GTTTTTACTATATTTTTCTAAAAACTTATTGACTTGCCCTCGTAGCATCATACAATACTATTGTATTGCCGACAACGCTAGATAACATTAACGCAGCTATCTTGTTGTTAAACTGCTGACAATACATATACACATTGTTGCCTGCATGTTACTACAATGGCGGTATATTCGAAATCGTTGAAGACAAATCTACGACAAGTTGCCATCATCATAAGCAATCACAGATTTGTGCGATTTTGCTGAGACACACTTTGCTATCAGGGAATGTATTATAGCGATAAATTAATATGACATTGCATATATTGTATATGATATAATCCTTTTTGCTTCATTTAATAAAAAAGGAAGATTTAATAGAAGTTACTCATACTCAGTTACTCAATACACAGATATTCCCAAATATCAAACACAAAATGTTCCTTTATAGCAAAGATAAGAAAAGAAATAAGTGTTTAGCACAAGTTTCTCTTCAATTGCCATCATGTTGCAGTCATCAGGGCAATAATAATTTTGTTTAGGTCAATCTAGAGGCATTATGCGAACGAGTGATATACGCCCGTCCTTCTCGCTTTTGGCAACTTTCGGCTGTATCGAACGGGAGACAGAAAGATACATTCGTTCTTCTTGTTAGTCGCTTATTTGTCACTATCTTTATCTCGCTCGATGCAGCCAAAAGTTGTCGAACGCGAGAAGGACGGATTTATAATACATATATCGCTGTCGCGCTGAGCCAAATTTTGCCGAACTCGGCGTGCTAGGATTCCAATGTGCATCATTGGTTGTGATACGAGTCATTTGCTGTATTAGTGATTCGAAAAAGGGTATTTGTTTAGAAGACGCCTCTCACCTTCAATTTCAATGAAATTATGCTTATTCGCGTTTTTGTATGAAACGAAAGAATCTGACAGTAAAAAAAGTTGTGTCTAGTTCCGAATGTGCAAAATGTGTTGAATGAGTAAAATTTCATTGAAATTAAAGGTAAGGGGCGTCTCTTAACATTTACCGGAGAAAGAGAAGAATCCTAGGTGGAACACGTGATGAAGATGTAATGTTTGTTGAAAAGAAATATATTTTCGGTCCAATTGAATTAGTAATTTTTATGTAAAAAATTTTGATTTAGCGCGACTATATATAAAAATTATAATCTAGAACTCACTATTATATGTTTAAACGAATATATGTTTAATTAATTAGCTTACTCGTTTATTAGAAACGTTTTTTTGAAGACACGTGTTTTTAGAAGAGCTCGTTATTATACGTTTAAACAAAAATACATTTACATGTATTTTTAGCACATCCATCTATGAAAAACGTCTTTTCGATTATTTTCATGGTTTTTTTTATAAATGTTTATTCCTTTATTAAGGAATTTTCCTAGTATGATGAGTTGAAAAAAATCAAAAATTCCCCCTTTAACTTTCTTTGAGAGAGAGAGAGAGAGAGGGTGGGAGGGAAGGAGGGAGAGAGAGGGGGGAGAGAGAGAGAGAGTATATATTTGTGTGTTTGTGCACGCGCGCGTGTGTGAGCATTTATTATGTGAGACAGAATAACTCTTTGTCTTTAGATAGCTGATTGCAACAAGTGCCCTTTGTCGCTCGCGTCAGACGGTGCGCCCGGCCTGACAATGAAGTTCTTTTATCCCTTGAACGTTTCGTCATATATAAATGTATCTATTGACTTTGATTTTGAAGGCATAGAGAGGAAATGGCATCTCATTGAAAGAAAAACGAACTTTTCCAAAAGTGAATTCTTTAAAGCGTTGGAATTAGTTCTTAATTCAACAATTTTTAGTTTTAACAACAAATTTTATAAACAGACTTTTAGTGTTCCGATAGATTCACCACTATCACCCATCGTGTCGGATATTGTTATGCAAGACCTTGAAATGAAAGCATTACAGAGATTTCCAATTACATCATCCTTTTATGTGAGCTATGTTGATGGTATTGCGTTAGCATATGATGCGTCACATGATACATTGATGAAAATCTTTAATTCATTCCATTCCAGATTAAAATTTACAACTAAAATAAGTGGAAGCAGGTTAGATTTTCTTGATGTCAGTTTAATTAAAATAAGAAATTCTTTTGTTCAAAATTGGTACCACAAACTTACTTTTTCTGATCGTTATCTTAATTATTTTTCTAGACAGCCTTTATGCCAAAAAGTGGAAACAATCATTGGTTTAATTGATAGAGCTCTATCTTTGTCTCACCCTATTTACAATTACCCTATTTACATCAAAAGAATTTTGAATTAATAATAAAAATTCTTTTAAAGAATGTACGAGTATATCCACTGAAACTCATGTTTTTTGAAATAAAAAATAAGTTGTCAAAAAAATTTAAGCAATGGAATGACCAGAGTAACACCTACGGATAAGTCAATGGACAATAATAAAGGCAAAATTAATAAATTTTTCACAATCCTCTTTATACCACTTTTATCGAAAAAGATAAAAAAATTTTTTTAAAAAGACTCCTTAATACACATGGCATATAAAGGGATTAATAATTTTAGGGAGTTCATCAGGGGTTATAAAGATGTTTATCCCAAGCTATCTCATACATACATTATATAAATATTTGATTGATTGTCGAGACTATGAAGCACCATATGTGAATCAAACAGGTAGATGTTTGAAGACATGCAAATCTACATAAAAATCACATTTGGAACACAACACAGCATTCCGTAATAACAGAACACAGAATCAGTCATCACCATAATTTTGATTAGAAAAATATCAAGATATTAGACGAAGAAAAAGTATTTAATAAAACATTGATTTCGGAAACGATCCATATAAAGCAATAGAAATAGAATTTGAATTTACAGAATGATACATATTCTTTGGATCCACGATACATGAATTTGTTTACTGAATTGTGACGTTGATATTACTCTCTTTTGTTCTTAGTTTTATTTTTATTTTAATAACTACTTGACTTTATTATTTTGATTCTCATTGCATCTCTGACATCAGAAGTCCTTTACGCGCCTGAAGCCGCGAGAAAACGCTTACATGTAGTGGATATAATAGAAAATTCAGAAAAGTGATTTTAATAATTCTTTAATTTTCGTATGGTGTTTCTTTGAATGACTACAAAGCAAATCTGATAATCTGATGAGCGATATGATTCTACGTAGTGAAGCAATGCATATGACTTCGGTTTTACTTTTTAAATTTTATATTATTATTGTATAATGTAATATTTTTGACAATCATTGAGCTATTCGTTACATAGCTAATTTGGCATTTGGATAAAGAAGAACGAACTAATTTATCGGAAGTTGAGTTATTTATGTAATGGAATTTGAGTTATTTATGTAATTTCGGTTTATATTTTAAATTAATAAGGACTCGAATTAAAAGGTTAAAACGTATATTTTATTTGTTTTGTTACATTCACACGAAAAATAAAGAATTTCTGTGCATCTGAATAGCTGATGTAGTCTCTGATGGGCTTTTTTACATTTTTCATTAAAAATACCAACTTATCACCTTATTTTCTGACTGCTAAAATGACAAAAAAAGATGTGATTTCACTTTTTTGTATTTCTCTGGTTAGCAAACGTATTTATGTCGTACTATATATTTTGTAGTTATATCTTAAGAGAACGATCTCCTGTAAAAATTTCATCACAATGATGTCTTCATCCATTGGAAAAGTACCAAACCAGGAGGCGCACAATTACCCGCTGCGCACAGTTCCCCCACTTTCCCCTAACTATATAGTTAAGAAGTACAAGTTATCTATTAACGTATCATTCTCTTAATAGAAAATGATAAAATATTTATAGTTCCATTTATTTATCATGTAACTACACGAATATGGGAAGCATAATAATAAGATATAGAAAATATATATAGTAACATTTGTTACTGTACAACAAAAAACGATATATTTCATCGTGATGTTTATTTATATAGATATCAAGCAGATTTAACGATGCTTTCATAGAATATTATAAGTCGTCCTTCCTAGACTCAGTACAAAATCCAATAATGTAGTATTGTTCTGATGGAAAACGATGTAATATCTAAAGTCGATATATGTTAAGATAACTACATATAAATCGAGGACCGATCTTAGTTGAAAATACATAATGTGTATTGTTACCTCGTATAAGAAAAAAAAAAGAAATTTATCATATAATAAGATTTTGTCGTTGATATTCAAACAAGTTGTATAACATTCTATGAGAATCTATTGAACTCCAATATGTAAGAAGCGTTTTGAAACAACACAACAACGTTGTTACAACATTTGAATGTTTGTTGCGTACTAGGACCTTAGTACTTATTAATTACCTCAAGTTATGATGTAGATTCATTATAATTTTCTATGTAGGTAAAAAAGAAAATATATTATACAATATATACATATAAATTTTCATATATATATATATATATATATGTATATATACCTATATTAATTATTATTGGATTTCGATAATATTGGAAAGAGTACGTACATATGTATTATTGACATTTATGTAAATTACTTTACATTTAATGCTATTTAGCGGCACAATCTGCTTTGAGTTTTGTTGTGGATTACTACTATTTCGCACCCTCATAATATGATTTAAATTAAAAAATCGGATCTATCTCATACTCTTTAACTGTTAAATAACATTTATCTTTGAAGTAAATAAAATTACATATTTCAACATAGCGAACGATTATAGTTGTATGAAGGTATTGTTACTTTTTTTTGGCCGTTCGTACAAGGTACCGTGGAAAATTGTATCTTTATATATATGTCTGTTATATCGGATATTATCTTGATCATTTTCGAAATTAAATGTTTCTTTAATCAAATTTTTAATGTCTTTAAAACCTTCTATTTCTCGTAATAAATAGAACAGCACAGTGACTATATTTTGTATTAACAATTTTCGAGGATTAAATAATTCTTGGCAGTAAATATTGCATGTGTCCATCTTATTATTATTTATGATTAAATTTTTTTATTTGTTTCTTTGCAAATTTTTTATTTGCAATTTGATACTCTATTTTTTCCACTGACATTTTGTTTTAAATGAAAAATTTCATTTTCATACGGAAATGCCGAAATTGCCCACAATGGACCACTCATACAAACGTTGTAAACTATATGCAATAAAGAGTGCATATTGAATGTCATAGCGTTTTTACCGTATAAAATCTCAATTTCACAAACAAATTGTATTAAATCAATTTTACATTGTTCCTCTGAAATATTTTCAGAAAGTAGAACGTTAACGCTTGTACTTAAACGTGTAAACGAAATTAAGGCTTTATCATTTAAGATTCCTGTAAGATATGGCACACTGTAAAATAAAATCCATGACCGCTATTCACTTGCTTTCAATTTACTTTTATTCAAAGATCTTGGCAATATCTATGTATTTCTTGTGAAGATTTTATGTATATTTAATAATCTTCTATTGACATTTCCCTTTATTTTCGCGACAAATAAAACGAAGAACTAGGAGAGTTCCATTCAATCCATATTTGGTGAACAACTCCTAATAGTATGTCATGCATGTAGTCCACAGGAAATCCCCAAATCCAATCGAAATGTTCAAGTGTTGTCAAAATAGAAGCACCTTTAATGCTATTAATTGGCCATACACTTAACTTTATTTATGTTTTTTACATAATTTTCATGATTTTGCAATGATTCCTTCTCTGTAACAGGATATCACATAGAACCATGCACCTTTATCGTAGCACCAACTACATCCATAGTATCCATTAAACTGTATTCTATTTTTGATTATAGAGCGAGCAACCGAGTCAACTGATACACACAATGGCCGTAAAACGAATTTAATGCTTTTATTGTTGCTATTTAATATAGTGATCTATTAATTTTTCCATTTGTTGAATAAAAAACTTGAGATATAAATTCATAAACTTTGTTTGCTCAGATTTGAATATCCACAAATCTGCTAATATTAATAAATCAAATCTACGTTTAGGTGGTATCTCGTTTATTACACAGATCTGCAAGGGTTTGTTGTTGGGCAGCTGAGAGTCATTTCCGCACCAGTTTTTTGCGTAGAATCTGAATCCGAGCTGAGAATTGTCCCATCACGTCAGGGTTTTGAGATATTTGAGGTTATGTAACGGAAAAATGGCTATTTTGGGGATGTTTGAGGTTAGAAAAAGTGTGTAACAAAATTTTTGTAATTTTTTCTACCTATCTAATCTTTTAGTACTAGTTTTCTTCTACAAAAACAGCTCCTGAGCGTTGCCCTACGTTGTTCCTTTCAAAAGTTATGTCTATTTTAAGATCATATATTCGCGGTATTTGACTGGTTGCTTGTTAATGAGGTTATCAAAAATGAACGGATTCACACCAACGTTGGTATTCAGGGGTTTTCGAGGTTGCTGATCAATTATTAAGGTTTAACTGACGATCAGGAAGGCGATAATTCGGAATTGTGATCTTTGTCTTGGAAGACTCCGTGTATCGAAATTTTCGATTTCATTCCCCATTCTTTGACCCATTTAGAGGTACCTGGAGATACTTCTAATATTTACTGACAACAGGTTCTTGATCAGCAACCTCGAAAACCTCTGAATACCAACATTGGTGTGAATCCGTTCATTTTTGATAACCTCATTAACAAGCAACCAGTCAAATACCGCGAATATGTGATCTTAAAATAGACATAACTTTTGAAAGAAACAACGTAGGGCAACGCTCAGGGGCTGTTTTTGTAGAGGAAAACTAGTATAATACTAAAAGATTAGATAGGTAGAAAAAATTACAAAAATTTTGTTATACACTTTTTCTAACCTCAAACATCCCCAAAATAGCCATTTTTCGGTTACATAATCTCAAATATCTCAAAATCCTGACGTGATGGGACAATTCTCAGCTCGGATTCGGATTCTACGCAAAAAACTGGTTCGGAAACGACTCTCAGCTGCCCAACAACAAACAAAACCCCATTATTTGCAGATCTGTGAATTATTAATAGCAAAGGCCAAATACTATTTGTTACTTTTGAATATAGGAAAACCGTCTGTATTAAAGTTGAAAGTCAAAACTTTACATTTTTGATTCTGTGCGATATTCTTGTATAAAATGCTGTCGTACATATCTGACATACTTGTTTTCTGTAACATGGTGTTTATGTTTATATTCATCAAAGTATCTCGCATATTTTCATCCTCTAATAAGGCTCGAATTTGGTATTCAATGTCAATAAATATAAAATAGTTTGGAGATTTAGGAGAAACATTATACTCATTTTTACACTGATACAACACTTTTACATACAACCATCTTTTTCTGACCAATACGATCTTTGAAAATGGATTTAAAAGTGGAGTATAAATATTCGATACATTAAAATACGTAGAATATTTTATTCACGGGTGGATTATACATTTTCGACATTGTATATTTTTAAGTATTTATATACTTAAATTTTGGCCCATCTAAACTTTTTATTAAATTTAATAGCGCATGTCTCGATTCATCGGAATGATGATAGTGCAAACATGAAACTTGGACTATTGTGAAAACTTCACGAATTGATAAACCGGCAGCTTCGAACATAATAATATTATTATTTATGTGCGGACTATTATTAAATAAACTAAAATAATCTTCACAAATGGCATTATCATTATCGCTTTGATTATCACTTATATATTCATTAGATTTCTCGCAATTATTCTCATCGTGTATAATTTCATTTAAACCATTTACATCATTTTTATTGCACAATAAAACATTATTTGACGTTATATTTAATGTATCGTGTGGTTTTTCATCGTATGCAATTTCATTTAAATTGCAAATATCTTCTTTCTCTGTGGATAAAGTATGAATGATATGTTATCATTAGCGTAGCTAGATTCGACGATGCTTCCCAGCTGCTTGGTCATTCTGCATTACGCTTGCATTGCCTGAATATTATATATTTTAATTAATTATGACTGTAAAATATAGGTTGATTGTAAATGTAATGTACAATATTTAATTACACACAGATAATGTGCAATGTGCTATATAAATATCTCTTACAAAAAGGGACGCATAAGCAGATATTGTAATTCATATAATACACACTGCTTCAGCATAATATCCAGCACAAAGAGGCGGTCATTGAATACTGCATTAAATAAGGCGAAATGAGAATGAAGAGATACAACTGGTATTTGGCAAATATTCAATGTCCGGCTATTTGGCGGATAAAATATTGTAAAGCTTTTTTCCAAATCCAGCCATCCGACCGGATAATTAAATTATTTGGTTGGATTGTGAAAATTATTTTCAACAATTTGTATAGGAACAATGAAAGTATTTACTAAACTACTGACTCGTGAGATATTTAATCTTAAATAAATTAAATGTAGATATTATTTATTTTTAACACAATTTATAAAATAAGTTTTTATTAAATTTATTTTGAAGAATTATTAATAAAATATTGAAAAACCGTATTTAGCAGATTAGTTTTTAAATTTTTGTAGCATACTTATAATACTGTTTACATTAAAATATTATCTTTTTTATTATAAAAAAACAATTAAATTTTCAATTTTTCAATAACTTTGTGCAATTATCGAAAAAATCTGTTATTTGATATTGTCGGATAAAATTAGTTATCCAGTAACAAAAAATGAATTATTCAGTTATTCGACAAATTATTATTTGTTACACCCCTAAAAATACATTTATTTTATGATCCGCTATATGTAGTCATCTCATGCGATATTACAATAAATACATAGGATTATATTACATTAATTCCTATGTGTATTTTTCGTAAAAAATAGATTAAATTTTTACATTTTAAAATATTACGGAATAAATTAAGTTTAAAAATTGTACTACTAAACACGGTAGAAAGACTTAATATATGAAACTGAATATAAAACAATATATGTATGTACATAAAATAGAAAGACACATAATTTTATGATACATGCGGTAAAGACACTATATGAAGGCATAAAGAGTGAGAACAATGAAAAAGTAGGAAGAATTAAGAAAGCTAGGGCATAGCAAATAGATTCAAAGAAGTCAGCATATGTCAGTAGCAAGACGCTAGAAGAGAAGAATTAATTTATAATTATTGAACTAATTATGTAAATATTAAGTCTTTTCAGCGAATTTCATCCATCGTAAAAAAGTTCGACGATTACATCTTGTTGATATGTCTATCGGTTCTAAAAATTACCTGTATATTTTTCTTCCTTGTAAATCACTCATTTTTTATTATAGTCAGTTTGTTTATATTTGAAATTAGTTTTCGAAAATCATTAAGCCCCGAATGTGGATTTGAATAAATCGATAGTACTTTGTCTCTAAATAAAATAAGAGAAATTTTATATTTGGTCAAAGCGGCGACTGTTGTACTTAAATATATACTATATGTTTAAATAATAAAGAGCATACAGCCACAACTAAGGATGTAAATAAGTTATATATTATTTAAAAACAATTTCATAACAATAAGTAGACGTTTCGGTCAAGATTTGACCCTCTTCAGTAAAATAAAATTAAATACGTTAAAAATTAAAACTAAATTCAACTGATAAATGTAGTGATAGCAAGTAACAAAAATTTTATTATTGCCTTATAATACGGAAATAATCGCAATCGATCGAGATAGATTAAGGCAACAGTTAATTGTTGTCGCGCTATATGGATAGAAATTAATCACAAAAGTCTTTTCTTTCATAATACAATTAAGAATTCTTCATTTTAAACACGACAGTAGTGTAGTAGGCCGGTTCTAACCACGGTCCTCTGAGGGAAGCGCGGGGCGCGGGGGGTACTCGTAGGCGCGGGCGGAGAAAGGCGCGGTAGAGGGGGAAGGCGCAGTAGAGGGGGAAGGCGCGAGAAGTCCCGGCGTCATCGTTGTAACAGGACCCACATAAATAATGCGTTCCTTTTTTTTTTTCATCCGCCGGCGCCGTCGCCGCCACCGCCACCGCCGCCGCCGCCGTTGCTGCGGGCCCCGCGTCCACCTAAAAAATGCGTAGATAACAAGGGTTCGCACGTTAGAGAAAGATAGAGCGTGCACGACGCTTTACATGACACAATTATTATCTGGCATGTGCCAGATTAATAACGTGACTGATATTATAACGTAGTATGCTTTGTAGGCGATAGAGCGCTTGATAAGAGTGAAGAAAGGATAGAAGAAATGAATCCTCTTTTTTGACGCAGTTTTTTTTCAATACGGTTTTTTATTAGCGCGTCGAGGTATAGGATGGATGGATGGGTGGATGAAGACTAAAAAATAAAGTACATAAAATGATATGGACGGAAATTTTTTATTCTCATCTTATTACATCGTGTTTTTTTCGTACGTATTAAAAACTGAAGCTAATAGCTCGCAATCGATGAGTTGACGTCCATTGAAGAAGTCGCCGTCGCGTATGGCGTTCTCAGACGTATTGGAGAATCGCGTATACTTTGCATCAACCGTATCGACGAGTCGGGCTAATCGTTCGAATGTTACATCGATACACCCATCAAAGCCAAACATACGGCGTAGCGTCGTTTCGGTCATCGTAATGCGTACGGACGAAGAATCGAGACGTACGAGCGTAGCATCGTTCAGCGTACAAACTCTGACGATTAGCGGTCCAACACTTATAAAATTGTCCTTGTATTCATTTCGAAGCATTTTGTAAATATTCCATCGTTGCTCGTAGAGACTCTTCCAGGTTTCGAGAAACAGCGGCAGTTCGTGTCCGCGATGATCTCCCAGGACGATCTCCACGTAACTCGGTGGGCCAATGTTGATTCCAATTTCCAAAAATTTACAGCCCGTATTCGTCAGTTCATAACGTCTGCTCAGTAAACGCATCGCACGATGCTGCGGACTGCATACATACATACATAATGTTAAAAAAACATTTCTTTTGTGTATAGAATGTCGAAACTTACATGTTATATTCATTCTTCACGTCGTACGATGCGCTGCTCTCTTTGGCAAAGTATATTCTTTTTTAACCGTTCGTACAAGCGGGTATCGCAAGACTGATTGCATCCGCGTAAATTGTGATATATATGGTAACACTTCTGGAATCGAAGAGGAGAGACAGGCTCTCCCCACTTTTTCCAAGAATTTCAAACGTGTTGCGACATGTTTTATCACGTCTTTCTATATATTTTTTGTCACAAGCTTATATGTATTCATACATACGTTTATACATACATACTCGTATAATACATACATATAGTACATACATACATACATACGTTAATACATATACGTTTATACATATACTTTTATACATACGTTTATACATATTCGTTTATACGTACGTTTATATGTACATATCTGCTTATACATACGTCTATACGAAATTGAGTATAACTTGCAGGTAATATTCCTTATTGACCGTTCCGATTGGCCAATACTATTTTCTTCACTTCATCAATGTTTTCGTCTATTGTTGACGTGCTCGGGCGTCCGGCACGCTCTTCGTCGTTCACATCTTCTCGGCCCT